GTTACAGATCACTTGCTAAACCGAAGTCCCAGCACACTCCCGAATTGCCAACATTGCTTGGCGCATGGGCACAGAAACAAGAGATGTTCAATAGTCTTCCTCTCATTTCCACACACAGGGCATCCAGGATCTTTGGCACAAGATCTTCGAAACAATGCATCCCTTGTTGCCACTGCACCAGCTCCCTACCTCTAGAGGTTTGGAGGCACAGAAACCTTCCGAATACATTTCCATAGCTGTTTTGGCAGATGGTAAGAGGACCCAGGATCTTTTGGTTTGGCAGCCATCTCCATTTGCCAACCAAGTACAACATCCTATAGCTTCTGTTGGATCCTTTTTTTTTTTTTTTTGTATCATTTCAAATTGAGATGCTTTTGGAATCTTGGCCTTTCATTATCTGAGTGATCAATAGTAAATCTTTTTGCCAAAGAGTCAATTTTATCAATTTCCAGAAAATATTAGTCACCAGTAGAAAACGCCAAAAAATAAATAAATAAAGCCTAATAACAACCTATATATTCCAAAAGAACAAAAACAAACCTATCAATACGACCTATATATACAATAAGATCAAAATAATAAACAGTTTCATAATAACAATTATAATAATATTGTTTCTGCTACAGAGCTACCCATCATACTTCGACCAATATATATATATATATATATATATGTACAGAAGAAGAGGCCATTCCTTCAGTATCCATTAACTTCAAAATTTACTCAAATAAGTGAAAATTTTGACCATCAAAATATAATATATATGTGTATATATATATAATGTTAATGGTGCTCATCGTGGTATCAATAACAGCTAGACATGTATGGGGGCCTGTAAACTATACAAGTGTTTGATAAAGGAATTGAACTGTTCATAATACAGTAGAACTTAGAAATTTTATATTGCATAATTAATAATGGCCTCAAATTTACAATTCACAAGTCACAGTTATAAATATTCTCATATATGTACAAGGAAGCTACCCCTCCAAACAAAATGGAGATTATGAGATAATTTCCGGTTACTTTCAAGGACTCATTACACTGCTGCTATCATCATCACTAATCACCTGATCAGAACTCTTTTCAAAAGCCCTAGAACAGGGAAAAGCAAAACGAGCAGAGAAAGATCGAGAAGCTTCTTCTGGGTCCTTGGAATATCCATCTTCGAAGTTCTGAGAGTATGATTCAATGTCATACTGTACTTGATGAACTCCAGGCGATGAACTCCTGAACAACCTCTTCTTCTCCTTCTGCATCTTCCTCCACAAAGTTCCCAACCTCAACATCTTCGATCCACAAAACTTCCTCTGCTTAGCTATAATTGCTTCTTCTGTTTCTGCTTCTGGTTCCCACTCCTAGAACCTTGAAGTAAGAGATAGAGATTGACGAATAGATGATAAGCTGAGAGAGAGAGAGAGAGAGAGAGAGAGAGCTCAGGTTTTGGGACCAATATTGTGTTTGAAGATGTGCGCATTAGCTAGGCTATTTATACTACAAATTACTTAGTGTCTAGTAAAACTGATCTGAAGCAGACATGACGTGTTAAAAGGTAATTGAATCGACATACGAATCTATATATGTCCCTACACACTTTATTACAGCGAAACTTACCTTTATGATTAGTTTTTATAGGATCAGGGTATATATTATATAAAGCGTGACGTGTGGTTTTATGGAAGTGAGTAAAAAACAGGTCGAAGCTGATGTGGTGCCGTGGAATGCTATGAAGTTTCTTGCTTGGTCAGCAACTGCGCACACATACATTTAAATGCAAGACTTTATTTTTGAGAATGGGGTGTGACTGTACCTTATAACTTTATGAAGTCAGGTTCGCATGGGTGGGAAAAAGTATGCTGGCTATTGAGATGAACCGTGGAAACAAATTAACGTTGTTTACATACAAAGAATTTATTGTTTCCAAAAAGAACTGGGTTTATAAAATAGATCGAACATTCTGTTATAGATCCTTTGAACCCAATGTCACACAATCTTAAAAGAGATTCTTGACTTTCGGTTCTTCAGGGAGTCATAATCAATAAGAACGTTAAGTGAGGAATCAAGGAAATTAGACATTTGTGATTGAATTTGATATTCTATCTTTGTAATTATTGCATATATTTCTATTTAAATTAATTAGTGTAACCCATTGTTTTAAGAACCAGACTATTGGCCCGTTGAACAAAGCCAACTGCTCAAATTAGATCAAAAACTACTTTTATGGTTGAGCAAATTAAACTGAAATTCAACTGCTGTTAAATCAGAAACCAAAACGGTTCTAAACATAATATATACCTTAGTCAGAAGAGCTAACTTTATTTTTAGACGCTGTTGACATATATCAATACAAATGCATCTTTTTTTGAACTTATTCATACCCTATTTAACTAAGATCTATCTATATTTAAAAAGTTATAAAATTATAATTTATAATATTGTTGATTTATAGTTATACTGAATTATTTTATTAACAGTTAAACATATTGTGGATTTATCTTATGTATATATTTTATAAATATATTTAATATTAAATTTTATTTAATTATTATGTCACAGGTTTAAATGCTAATTTAATTGATTAGACAATAAAAAATAAGAACCATTGATCTTTTCAATTCAATGTCTAATTTGATTTTTAAAATATCGGTGTAACCTTATAAACACTATATGAATGTGAGTGCTATGAGACCCTGCCATAATCTTAGTGGTCTTCGTAGGAGGAACCTCATGTAAACTGTTAATTACCAAAAATAAAGGGAAAAAGTAAAGCAAAATAATAAAAGTAAAAAATAAATCACATACATAATAATAATCTTAATTACTTCTTTATCATTGCTTTCTCTTTGAATATATGATTGCATTACTGTATATCTATTGGACATTCTTTCAATTACTCAACTACTTGAAGTCTCTAACAAATTTTGCAGATACTTAATTTATACCAAATAGATTCTGCTTAATTGATCCTCCCCCCCCCTTTTGGTTTATTTCAAATTTAGATGCTTTTCGAATCTTGGCCTTCCATAATCATATTGCAAGTAAAATACGAAAGTGGGTATTAGAAGATGAAAAGAGGAAGAAATAAAGTGAAAGAAAGAAAGAGTGGGACAAATATAATAAAGGGTGTAATAATAATTTAAATCCTAAACTGTAAACTCAAGAACAAATTTGAACCCTACAATCGTGTTGGGTGCATTTTGACCGCTAATCAGTTATACTCGGGACAAGCTTCCCTATACTGTTAACTCCACATTAACGGATATTACTTCAAACATATGTTGCCCACATGTGGAGAAAAAGGGATGTGGTGTTTTTTAAGGGAGATCTCAATGAGGGCCCTCAAAATAAAATTGACAGTATGAAGGGCCCAAAACATTTTGAAACCATTCTATAGGCCCAAGGACCTTAATGACAATTAATTTTGTTGATCTAATTACAAAAATACCCTTGATTTTATTTTTTAAAAAAACAAAAACCCACTGTCACTAGAGTCACCACCTCCAGCGAACAGACCATCGTTGCCACAGAGGCTAAACCTCCGTCACCGATGACTTGACTGTCAAAAAGGAGGGTTGCCACTGAAGCATTAAAACACTTTTAATTATATATAACAAATTATAATATATATATATATATATATGTATGTATGTATGTATATTATAACTTATTTTCAAGCATTTGTATGATTTATTATTCATCATGGATATGTTGTCGTACATATTCAAATAATCACCTATAACAAAGCTTGTTTATACATAAAAATGGGTTAAATGTCAAAAATGTCATGAAATTTTTTCTCCAAGTGCACCTATATCCTAAACTTTTTTTTAAAACATTTTTGCTTCAAAAGTTTTAAAAAGAGAGCATTTTTGCCCAACCGTTAAATATAGAGAACGTTGACCGTTAACTGAAATTTGACTAGAGCATTTTTACAATTTTATTCTCTTTCATTTCTGCATTTTTCAATCTTTGTTTTCATTTGTTTTAAGAAGAAAAGTTAAAGAACTTACTAAAGAAGGAAATCAAAGACTAAACATAGAAGGAACAAGGAAAAAAAATAAAAATATCCTTGATCAAATTTTAATTTAATGGTCAGCATTTTTGATATTAAAAAATAGGATAAAAATGCTATCTTTTTAAAACTTTCAAGGAAAAAATATTTCAAAAAATTTAAGATGCTAAGTGCTTGTGGAGAAAAAATTCTAGAACATTTTTGCCCTTTAGCTCTAAAAAAAATGTCAATTTTTTAAACCTAATTTTTTTTCAAGTTTTTGAACAATTTGTTGTTTCAATATTAACATTTTATCAATATTATTTTAAATAAAAAATTTATATGTTCTAAATTTATTTTTCAAATATTTTCATTAGTTTTGATTATTCATGAATTCATTATTATGCATATCTGAATAATACATAAGCCAATCTGACCTGTTCATATATAAAAAGAGTGCCCATTTGTTAAACCTAACTTTTTTCAAATTTGTTAACAACTTATTGTTTCAAAATTGACATTTTATCAATATTATACTCATGCAATTGGTCTGTCTTTTTTAAATATATAAAATTCAAGGATATTTTTGTAATTGGACTAAAATATTAATTGCCATTAAGGCCTTTAAGCTCACAAAATAGTTTCAGAATATTTGAGCCATGTATAGTATTAATTTGATTTTGAGGACCCTCATTGAGGACCCTCATTGAGATTCTCCCTTTTATTAAACGCTGACATGAGAAGAAGATGAAAGAAGAGGCAATATGGTCGCCGAGCAATTAACCTTGCTAGCTCCTTCCCTTGGGTGAGCTCTTTGATCAGACTGAGTTGCCCCTACCATGGATTTGACAGAGGATGATGAAGTAAGAGCCACAAGGTCCAGCTTGAACGGAAAGCAAAACCTCAAAAAGAAGTATTTCCGGTTCAATCAACATTTCTTAACAAATTGAAGTAAGAATAGCATCCCTTAAGTGAGAAAAGAAGTATCACTCAAATACATATTCTAAGATCCTTGAAAATGGGGCACCCGTAATATTTCACCAAAAAAAAAAAATTAGGATAAATGGATAATAGTGCTCTTGTAACCTCTCAGATCTCAATCACATACCTACGCTTGCTAGTTACAGCTCTCTGATTGTAGTCGTCTTTTGCATCACCATTCGAATCTCTTGTTTCACTTTCTTCTCTTGGATCAATAATATCTACCTCTTGGGACTTTAATGTGCTCCCTCTCGCCATCACTTTCACCGAAATCTGGAACCCCATCAGGCACGTCGCCTTCACTTTCTATTTCCACCTCCCCGTGAATGAGGGAGATCGAGTTCTTGGAAGAGATGAAGAAGGTTCTGCAAGGCCCTGCGTTAATAGAGGCAAAGAGGGGGGAGAGTGATGCCCACAAAATTTTAACGTTAGGATCATGGCAAATCAAGGTGGTCCCACGAAGAATTAAAATGAAGGAAATTAAATACAAATGAAATTTTATTTTCGTCTCACCTAACTTAACCAATCAAAAGTAAAATTTTTATTAAATTAAAAATACATACGAATAAATAAAATAAGTTCAAAGAATATATCTGAGGTAAAATTAGCAATTAAAGAGCATTTTAAGAATTCTAATCCTTTTTTATATTTTGTAATTCAATTTCTTTTAGTTGTTGAGTTTTAATTTAACTTTAAAATCAAGACTTTAATTTAAATTTATGGATCCCTTGGTTACAAAATTCATGATTTAATTATACTATAATATCTCATGCAAGTCCTGATCCAATTATGCCCAAGCCTTGAAGGATTATCTAGAGCTATGGTGTAAATGTGTATCTCAATAGCAAATTACATTAATTCTAATTCTAAGTTGCTTAATAAACAGTCTAATTGAAATTTTCTTTTGTTAAAGGTAAATTCCAAAATACATATATATATTAAAGTTGAACATTCAATAATATGAAAACAAAATAAATCATATTAAGTACTAAAGCATTTATCAAAGTCAATAACTCAAAAGAAATCTACCTATAAAGTATAAAGGTTCAAAGAATTTTTAAGAATAAAACAAAATTGGCCGCTCATCGTTCTAAATATGCAAAATAATTTGATTTCCACATAGAGAATAAAAAGCATAGAGAAGAAGAGGAAAGCTTCACAATATCTTGGCTGTTTCCCTAATCTTCAAGAACACCTCGAAAACCTTGGTTGATGCTCCAGAATAGCCTTCTCACTTTTAGATATAAACTATGATAGTTGGATGGCTGGAGGGGTCTGAGAGGGTTTATTTATAAATTTTCTGTGTTTCTTTGGTCGTGCTGCGAGAGGATGATTTTTTTTTTTTTTTTTTTGGTGCTCAGTTACATCCTTGCGCGATGGGCTTTCCTTCTTAACCTGTCTGAGGGACGGACATGGCTGAAATCAAGGGGATTCTTACACCTTCTTTATGTCCATGCATGGAGATAACTTAGTTTTTCCTTTGTCCGTGAGCGGAGCTGCATATATATTCTTTTTATATTCATTAAATTCATTAAATGAGAATTTTTATATTCTCTTACTTTTAAATTCTATAAAAATGACCAAATAAATGGGTAATATATGGTAATAAATCTATGTAAAATTCCCACTTATCAAAGAGGCATAAGACGGCGACGATCTCCGGCGATCTGCAGAAGGAGAGGATGCGATCCAGAGGACGCCATGGCGGATGAGAATTGTGAACAAATAGATTAGATAGAGAAGGGTAACTAAAGTAAATAGATGGGGGAAAGGGCTCAGAGGCAGGGGAGGACTTTTTTTCAAGGGCCGAGAAGTCAAGACGCGTGGATTTCACGTTCATCATGGTCAACATTTTCTTAATTAACAGTAGGGGAAAGCTTGCCTTAGTCAGGACAATTGTTTAGAAGTGAAAATATATTAAACGTGAGTTTGGGTTTTAAATTATTCATGGGCTTATAATTTATGGACTAAATTATTATTTAACCCTTTAATAAATATTTTAAGGGGTTCACAAGCACACCCTCTAATTGGCACAAGCCAATAGAACAATTAATAATAACAAAACTGCATATATGCATCACCCTCACATTATTATTATTGTCTCATTTAATTGTTAGAAAGAATATGAATAGAATTGATAGAAAAGATCAAAACAAAATAAATTAAGTCACATTTTTCTCCCATAATAAATATGAGAAAACTCAATACTATATACTATAAATTTGGATATCATCTCACATTCCAAAAATTTTATAAATCATAATTTTTAATTTTATGAACTAAAATTATACTTCTCCCTTAAAAATATATGGTTAACATATCTCACTCCACATTTTGATTATTTTATTTTTATTTTTATTTTATTTATTTCATTCTAACAACCAAACATGACCAGTTTCTATTATATCCCATCGATTTACTTCAAAACTTACTCCAAAATTTTGATCTTGTATATATACACAATATTAACAGTTCTCATGGCGGTATAGTATCTATGATATCAAAAACAACTAGTCAGATATTGAGTCAATGTAATTGTATAGAGTCTAAACAAATGATATGGAGGAGAAATATGATAACACCAACAGTGAGCCCAACCAGAGACAATTATGAAGGAGAAGATTTGAATTTTTAAATGTTTTACATGAGTAAAACACATATTTATATTTTTAAATCTCACATAACACAATTAAACATACCATAAAATTCAATGACAATTGAGCATAACAAAATAACAATTTTTTTCAAAAAAAAAATTTGTGGAGATTTAATTATGTTTTGGGGATTGGGATATAATTCTTTAAAAAGAAAAATTTAAAATCTATAAAAAAAAAATCAAGTTATTCATAACTCATGAATAACACGAACAACATGAAGCATGAAGCATGAGGGCAAAGTCTAGCTAGTTCATTTTGATACATAACATAAGCTAATACAGTCGCTTTAATTTCCTCCAAACGAGGACCCACAGTCAATAATAATCGTCTAGATTATACGTGAAAAACAATATTCACATAATTTACATCACTAAATATTTTTACCCTACAAGCCTTAGCCTACAATCATCCATTTATACATAGACATGGGTTTGAAGCTTGAGCACAACCTTGACACCTCTTCAACTCATGTCTGAAATCATACAATTAAGTTCATATACATAAAACACAGGGTAAGTACCAGAGTAGCATATTCTTCAGGGACAAGACACTGTTCACTAATTAAGATTGATATAATTGCAAATATATAATCCGTTGCAAATCACAATATTATACGCTACATATTAAATAAATAGTGTAGCTTGTTCTTTATCTTGCATGTACAGAAAAAAAAATTGTCGATGTTGATTGTAAATACTTGATAAAAACGGCTATTATAATGTTCGAATTTTTATATATATATATATATATATATATATATATTCTCTTCAATTTTTTTTGACAAAATTACGCACATTAATAAAATTTATTGAATATAATTTGAAGTCTCATTTTTTAAATTAAAATATAAATATAAATTTTTAAAAATACCTTTTATCTAATATAATCTTATTTGTGAAATATTGAATAGAGAGAGAAAAGATAATAATACGGAGAAAAGGATAATATTAAAACAAGTATAATTAATGAAACTTTATTTTTATTAAATTATTTTATATATTTTTAAATATTAAAATATCTAGTATATTATAAATTGGGAGAAAAGAAATAATAACCATGCTAAAGCTAACAAGGCTTTAGATGCATCTATATGCCTAACAATTATGCGCATATATACCTAACAATCAAGCTTAATTTTAGACAACGTAATCTCACTTGAATTCAAATTTTTCACAAAATTTTTTGATTGATGGTTACAATTATTCGCGCACGCACACACCTAACAGTTAAGCTTAATTTTAATAAGTTTATTAAAGGTGATATGGAAAAAGTAAACTCATAATCAAACTCCTCCTTTATATAAGCAAAATATAGGTAAAACAAACTTAATTAAGCATAATCAATCTATGCATTAAAATTTGAATATATCTGGGTGAATAATCACAGGACATGCTTAATAATATTATAGCTGATTACCTTTACGGTGACACCTTTGGCGTTCAATTGCCTGATTTGCTGTATTTACCAAAACATCACAGTACAGTTTGGCCTATTGCAAAATCACAAAAATACAAAGTCATTGGGTTTGTTGATTAGCATATTCATAAATGAGAAGAAAAACTAACCAAAAAATTATGAAAATATAGCTATGATGTTCACCACAAATAGAAAATACGTCTTTAAGAAAAATTTTACTCATCATGATACAAAAAACATTCATATGAGTTAATAAACTGAATCACTCAAACAAATATATAAATAAATCTGAAAATCCTCAAAACTAGATTTTAGGTTCCATGTTTAATTATGGGTACTATATTTTCATGGACCAAAAAGGGCGTTAACCCTTTAATTATTCATATAGAATCCGGCCCCATAATTCGTGTGTGTACATATCTAGATCCTGCAAAATTCGGGTCCAGATTTAAAGGCATGTGTACAGTTATACCTTTTGGGAAATAGAGAGTTCTTTTTAAAAGTCAAATTGTTTAAGTAGTTTTTTTTTTTCCTTTCAGAAAGTCTATTTATAATATTTCTAAAATTTTATTTGCCAAAAATTGTTCTGGATTTATTTCTTAAAGTTATTTTTTTAAACTTTTGAATAACTTTCAATTTTATAATAGTAAAAATAAAGCTGATCTGAATTACTTTAATTTTTTAATGTATTAAACATACTTTTTAATATATATATATATATATATATTAATATAAAATTTGTTATAAAAATTAATTTTTACGGACTTCCCACAAATAAAATTTTGATAAATAAATTTTGATAAGTTCAAAATTAAATACACTTAAATTGTTAATTTATTCAAGTATACCTCCATAGGAAATTCAAAAAAAAGGAGGCCCATGTGGCCCTCAACCTCCGTGGATGTGTAAAAAGGAATAGAGCCCTTTGCCAGGTCCTCCAGGAAGAAGACGACGTCGGAGAGCACCCTGATTCCGGTGAACTCCAGCCTGGCGTCCACGTAGGATGACCCCCTCGCCTTCACGTGTCCGTGCACCGACCTCACGTGCCCCAGTTTCTTTCCCCTGTACCCTACCGCCACGTCCACCGACTTGTAGTCCATCGAGTACACGTCGCCGTTGTGCACCTTTACCGTCACCAGCATCGATATATCCACCGTCAGCCGCGGCAGTGTATGCACCTTTATCCGGTTCAGCCTCAGCCGTTCGATCTTTAGCACCGGCTCGGACGGCCAGCATATGTACACGAACCCGAGGAAGAGCACAACTCCCACGGCCCAGATGATGAGGCATCGACGGCGGGTCGGGGAGGCGTTGTAGAGAGGTAAAACGAAGTCGTTTTGGTCTTTCTGGTAAAAAGGAGGAAGGTGGATGTATCGGATGATTGCCTTTGAAACTGCCATGGCTGGAAGTACCTGAAAGCCTGTGATTTCAGAGATGGATAAAAGGGGAATTTATGAAAGTTAAAGTTTTGATTTTTAATAATTCTATGGTGATGAATGAATTATATGAGGAGGGTTTGATTTGCTTTGGATTCTGTTTCGTGAGTTTTTGTTTTTGTGTGGGAAATTGAGGTGGGGGTTTCCTCCTTTGTGATTTACTCTGTTCTAAAGTGTTTGTCTTCCTCCGACCTGTTATTGTTTTCTTTTGCTTCAAGCGTACGTTGGAATGGATATTTGCTGGACGAAGCGAAAATTCCCTTCAACTTAAAATAAAGATTATGTAGTGTTGCAATCAAGCCTAAAATCAAAGTGATCTAAATATTTAATGTCATTGTTTGTCAGCAATATGTTAATCAAGCAAGTTTTACCTGGCTAATAATGATAATTTCTAGTATTCTCTTATAATTTAGTGCGAGTATGATTTTGCAGGACGGTGCCATTGGAAGTTTGAAACAGACTTTTGGGCTCTTTCACCTTGCATTGTGTTTGAGGATAGGTTTTCTATGGGACGGTTCTGTTATGTAGTGGGTGAATTCTCCACGGAGATTGATTGCTTTTATTGATACAACTCTTGGAAGTTTTGTATGAACTAATTTTTGTTTATTACCATGTAGGCAAAAGTTGGAGTCTTGATACAAATTTTGGAGTCACATAAGGAAGGAAAAAATTAAAAAAATAAAGAAGACCGATTTTTCTAGGTTACTTTTGAATTCAGATCCTTTCAATTACTCAATCGGTTAAAATGACGAGTGAAGATAGAAATAGAGCGAAACACTTAACCTAATTTAAAAATTTGGTTGTAAATGTATCGTGATACGGGAAAAAGAGAAACTGAGACATGAATTCAGAAGACTTGCCCGCTTTTCTTTTCAGAATTTCTTTCTTCTCACATTACGATGCAGCAACTGTAGATTTTAAAACTTGTGAGCCCGCCTCTCTATTTTTGTCAATCTTTTCATTTGAGTACCTGTAATTAAGGATAGAAATCTAATGAAGTACTCCCTAGCAAAATCTGATATTAAATGGGGTAGCAATCGGCTAACATTATGACCTTGAAAATTAAATTTGTGTGAGGAGGCAAAAAAAAAAAAAGTATTGATTTCTAAGTACCATACTTCGATATGTAACAATCAGCTTGAACTAATTAGAAGTGAATCTTTGTCATTGTTAACCAAAGATTAAGGGGAAGCTATGAAGCACTCACAATCAATCAAAAAAAAAAAAAAAGAGAACATAATTTGCTCAACTTGTACTGAAAAATAGCCTTGAACAACTATTGCTCGTATTTGAGTTCAGAGATGATTTCCTCCACAACACTTTATTTTCGTCTTCTGCTATAACACAAGGTAAAACGTACTGGAAGTTAGTAGGTCCCACAAGATCCAAAGATGACATTGGCATGCATGAATGCTTTTAGTGGGTAAGAGAACCCAAAAAATGAGTATGGAAGGAGCAATCTCAACGTTTAAGATTTATGAAAACTTTGGTTAACTAACAGTCAAAGCTAAAGAAAACTACCGGTCTTCTCTTTCCCTTGTTCTGCTTCACGTTTCCGAATGACAGTCTCGCTTTTGGTTTCTTTGGTCTACAACCCTCTCCTTCACCGTCCTAGTATCCTTCTTTTGGTCTTGCATAATCTTTTATCAACCTAGCAACATGTCGAAGCCTGGAAATAAGATCATTCAAGCCAAGCTGGTGGGTATGTCTTACCTTAATTATTTCTTAGTATTTTCTGTCTCTCTTATGTATCAGTATTTTTCTTGGATCTCTACCACTGTTCATAATCCCATGTTCGTAGTCCTGAAGTAATCATTATGATATGTTATACTAGCTTCAAAGCCATTGTAGATTTTGATCATGAAAGCCATTTTGGAGTAAAATCTGTATAAAATGATCAGTATTACTGAGTGACTTTACCGAAATGATTTGGTTGTGCAGTAAGCAGAGTAAATCTTTAGATACATCTTTCATAGCACCTCAAGTCTGATTACACAATAAAATCAGAAAAGCGGACGATCTTAGAATACAGAATTTATTGTCATTTACTGTTCAATCATTTCATAGAGCTAAATCCTCCATGATGATGCACCATATTTTCTTTTTCTTGTAGGTTCTTCTTGGGGATATGGGAACTGGCAAGACCAGTTTAGTGTTAAGATTTGTAAAAGGCCAATTCTTTCATAACCAGGTTGGTTCTTCGAAGCTCTCTTCAGATCCAAAGTTTCTTTCTTTACCAATGCTGCAACACTAGTACGCTTTAGTTCAGGAATCTAAGAGCGATCTAATCACAGGAACCAACCATAGGAGCTGCTTTTTTCACTCAAATATTATCACTGTCTGAAGCTACTGTGAAGTTCGACATATGGGACACAGCAGGACAAGAAAGATATCACAGCCTGGCTCCTATGTATTACCGTGGAGCAGCAGCCGCTATCGTTGTGTATGACTTGTCAAGTGTTGTAAGTATGGACTTGTTTAATTTGAATGGATTAAGAAATCATGGTGATTATTTGATTTACTTGTGCTTCTCATGGCGTCAATGATCACTTCAAATCAAAATGTTAAACTGTTAAGTGAAGGTCCAGAAATAGTTTTGGTGTGTTGACATGTCTCTAAAACATGGTCCCCTATAATGCTTGCAGCTTCATTGCAATATGGTTTGAAATCTTTATTTAGATTGATAAAGAACATGTGATGGTTCCTCTAGCTCTGCCCCCCTACGATCATTCGTTTTATGTTGAAAAGGGCCCAAACTTGCCATAGTGATATTGATCAGTCATCCAAATTATGATCTCCAATGTGTATATCAGTACATTCACTCTGAAGAAGAAAAAATGGAAAGAGAAACTGAATCCTGCATGAGTAATCATATGAATTTTAAATTCATTTTTAACTGTAATCAATAATTATATTTCTCTTTTTTCCCCTTCAGGATACATTCGTTCGAGCCAAAAAATGGGTCCGTGAATTGCAAAGGCACGGTAATTCAGCATTTTATTTATCCATGAGTAGTACATGAGTAGTAAACTGATAAGAATTTTAGGGTAATTGACTGCATAAACGCATAGCTGTTTCTAAAATAAAATGTCCTATTCATGAACCTATATCTTATGAGTTACAAATTCATTTCCTTGTTTTGACTGGTGCTTGCTAGACAATAGTATACACGTTTTCTTCTTTCTTTCTTTTCCTGAATGCGATGAAACAATGCAGGTTCTGTATACAAACATTTAGAATATGTCTCTCCTTAGCAAACTAAAACCCCTCTATGTAGGAAGTCAAAAGTTGGTGATGGCATTGGTGGCAAACAAATGTGACTTGGAACAAACAAGAGAGGTTGAATATGAGGTATCATTAATATCTTCTTCCTTCTTTGTTTCTTAACTTACTCTTTATGAACTCATATCCATGATTTTCTCTGCTCTTGTCATTTACCCATTTGAAAACATATCACAATCTAACATTTGTAGACAGATAATTGCAGTCTGTCACAGAATGAATGCAAACATCTTGGTTTCAACTGTTTTATTTCTCGATTTACTTCTCTTTTTATTGGTTATTTTCCCTTTTCTGATTAAACATTATTTCAGGAAGGTGAGCAATTTGCCCTGGAGAATGGAATGTTTTACATGGAAACGTCTGCTTTGACTGCAGAGAACATCAATGAACTTTTCTATGAAATAGGTAAAGTGCTGAAAGTCTTTTAAACAATCAAATCTATTTGATGTGGTGGGATATTAATTTATTTTACTTAAGATTATTCTGTTAATGTTGTTGTTTTTTAATGCTCAATGCAGCAAAGAGACTAGCAAGACTATTGCCCCCAAAACCTACAGGGGTGAATCTCAACGATGTACAAGATAGAAGAAGAAAACTCTTCTGTTGCTCAGCATGAGTGACATCCCTATGTGTATCACCACCATCACCATCACGGTCCCCTCACTTTCATGTGAAATACATCATTTTCTGAATATATTGAACTCCTCCAGAGGAGGTTCTTATTTCTTGTAATTTACTTCTGATTTGGACTCTTGTTCCTGCAGTCTTCTTTCAAGTTATATCATGCATTTTCTAATTGTTCATATAGCTTTCTTTCAGGGTGGAGTCTCTCCACTTCCTTTTCCTCCATTTCCCTCCACTTCCCCCATCCCCACCATTCATTAATTTTTTTATTTAAAAAAGTTGTTTAATAAAAAAATTTTTAAATAAAAAAATTAATGAATGGTGGGGATGGGAGAAGTGGAGGAAAAGGGAGGAAAAAAAGAGAGAGACCCCTGGTCCTTTCTTTCAACGCTAATCCTATTCAAGTCCTCGACCTGCTCTGCTTTATTCAAATCTTAGTCAAGATCCATAAAACTTGGGATGGGCTTTTGTGGCGTTATCTACTAACACCGGAAACTTCTAACCCTCTCAAGATAAAAAATTCACATCCTTTACCGGTGGTGAAGATGACAACAAATGCAATTACTTTTACAGACCGATAAAATATCAATTTGGATAGACAATTTGGACTGAGTTTATTTAACAACAGAACTTTCTTGGCTCATCAATAACGAAAATACCAGGGAAATATTACATGACACACCAAAAAAAAATGTACCCTACTAAGAAATATAAAATAAATTAATACAAAATACACAAACATGTCTCATGATGAGATTGGGCCTGTGTTTAGGTTCTGCGATATAGACCTCAAATCACGGTACATTTTGGAGCATTCAAGAGCAAACTCTGACATGGCCCTAAAGAGCTCTGGCAAGCAACTTTTTAGACTGCCAAGAGATTTTTGCCTCACCTGAAGGTACTGCCTTCTATGGGCATCTTCCTCCTGCTCCAACCTCCTCTGCACTTGCTCAACCAAGAACTGCTTCTCTACAACAATCTCATCAGTAGCATTAATAGATTCTGGCCTGTCTGCATCAGGCTCATCTGGTATTTTCCTCTGAAGGTACTTGTCATGCCAATCTCTAAATTGCCTGGTTTTGCGGGCAAGCTCCTTCCGCAATTCTTCACATTTTCGTTTCAAAGCAATCTCCTCTTGTTGTAGGTGGAAAATAGTTTCTACCATAGCAGCAAAGTTGGACATAGCTGCTCTGGCAAGCTGATCAGGGAGCGTCTCCAGATGGTCATGCCAGGCTTGAATGAGCCCTTGTATAGGGGGATTTCTAACTCTTGGAGGCGAAGAAACCATCTCCTTGAAATTGCTTTCAATAGGTAGGAGATTTAGTTTTAACCAATTGTTTAGGGCCTTTATGTACCCCTTTTGATTGGTTACTAACTTGTCAAACTGCGAACACCACCCTTGCACAACAACCAATAGCTGGTATGTGCGGTCATGATGGTGCTCACTTGTTTCACTTGATGACTGGGAATCCAGAGTTTTCAATAACATCACGACATTATACTGCTTCTCATGGTGATCGTGCATGGTTTTCCACATGGTGGCCATCCTGTAGTGGTGCATCAAGAACCATCAATATTTGCAAAGAAGTCTTCTGTGTGTGCACTTGTTTGTACAGATTTTTCTGGGAACAAGTTGTCATGGGATAACTAAACAAAACAGGTTTCCAGCAAGAAACACGGAACTCTCATTTCTCCTGAACAATTTGTTTTCTTCAAAGATCAATAGAAGGTTGAAATACAATATATGATTTATGACATATTTACTCGATTGACATTAGAGTTGATACCAGTATGATGAGATGAAAGTCAAATATCCACAAAGACTAGAATAAAATTGCATTTTAAAGATGTGGGAAAAAACAAACAGAAGAAACTTGCGATTATGTTACTCTATTAAATAAAAATAAACATGGAAACAGTAGGTAATTTTTAATAACGTTAACTGTTTTCTTAGGGGTGGAAGCTAGTTAAAAATGTCTTAATAACTTTGAATGGAGAGAGTATTATATAAAGTCAGAAACTCAAAATACCAGCTATATATAATTATATTATTCATTCTAATTCAACAGAGTAACTTACCCATCAACAAGATTAACAAGCCTTGGGTACAACTGTTCATCACGTAAACTGGCAATCTCTGAGACCGTTGAATCCAAGGACTGCATGTCTACAATATATCTTGTATGCAGATGGCTGACAGATGCTTTTGCTTTCTCCAGCGCTTCAGTGTTGGTTCCTCTTTTCTTTAGCTTGTTAAGTGAGGCAACTTTTTTTTGGTATTCAAATTTCATAAGTTCACCTGCCTATCAAACAAAACTCAGCCGCAACACTCCGAATAGAACAAGAAATATGCATGACTGAATTATAAACCCAGAACTAACTGAAATTTGGACTGGTCATGGTAGGGATAGGACAAAGAAGACCAAAGTAGAAGAAACTTCGCATAGCAGTGACATGCATTTACGGGTTTATGACAGAATAGTAAGAAGTGATAATATCATGTCACTTCATTCAAGAGTTGTGAATCAACAAACTGCAGAGTGAGTTGTTTAAATTCAAAATGAAAAGATAGCAGGTAAGACTTCAATCAATTTATCAATAAACATTTTATTAGACACATTGTGAAATGGGGCAACTTACCTTAACTTCGTCGTATAGCTTCTTTTCCCACGCTAGCAATTTGTCCAAGATAGTGGCATGAGTTTCATCTTCGTCATAGTCCAAATCATCCGTCCCGTCATCCAGATTTGGCATTCCTTTAAAGGACCGATTCCACGTAATAACTCTCATCACCCTTGCAGAGTGGTCAATGTGCCCTGCACAATTTTTGTTTATTTAAAAGAAAGGTCACAACTCTGTAGGGGATATGTGAAAACAAAAACAATTTGATGAACAAATTGACATGCTGCACGTGCACTTTATTTCTTCGACAGAATTGACGCAAGAATATTTTTTAAGCCATAACGCTTGGATTTTTCAACAAAGATTTCCCTATATATTTATACTTTGATTAAAAAGCATGCTTGCAAAGACCAAATAACTTTAACTTTTGTTCATTTGAAGCCCAGAAACACTTGACAAAGAATTGTCTATGCAGAGCCAAAGCTATCAAGAGAGTTACCTCTATTATCAGCAAAATTGGAGTGATAATGCAGCCGCGTTGCCTCAAGCATCTTCGAAACCTCATGAGCACTTTCTGAAGCCTTTAGAAAATCGTCATCAAGTAGAGTAAATATCTCTATCAAATTGACAGTCGATTTCACAATCCTCTTCCCCTCCGTTGGAACCTGTCCATGCTTTCCCTTATTCAATCCTTTCCCCACCGGCGTCGCCAAAGCAACGGGCGGCTCAGGAGGCTCAGGTGGCTCCACCACTTTCTCCGGCTTAGGTACAGGTGCTGGTTGAGGCTCGGGTACCTCATCCTTCTCATTTCTCATACTCTGTTCAACATCTTCATCCAATCTATTAGGCTTTTCATCAAATGTCGCCTTCTCATTCTCCTCCTTACTTAAGCCATCTTCTTCTTCCCCTCTCAAGCTCGTTCCAGGCACGTTTTCTATTGGAGGAAAGAAGAAATACTCCCAGGTGGAATTCTGTGGAGTCTGATCCGACATCGTGTGAAGATGAGTCTCCACTTGAGGCTCTGGTTTTGACGGTGGAGGCGGCATAGGAGGCCGATCTGCCTCTTCTTCCATCATCTCCTTAGTCCCACTTCTACTATGCCCACTACCACTTCTTCTGCCACTTCCTCTTTTTCTCAAACCACCATTCAAAGACCCTTCATTCTCCATCTCGTTCTCCACTTCCTCAATGATGGGCCCCACCGGGGTCGTCTCCTGCTTGGTGATCTTGATCTCGGGCATAGTTGCAGCGCGCTGAAGAGGAGAAGGGGGGAAATTGGGTAGAGGAGGAGGCGGCAGAGGAATTTCAAACGGCGGTATCGGCGCCACGATAGGAGGATTACTGGGTAGAGCAGCTACGCCAGAAGCCGATTGAGGATTCTGAACCTCACCCTGGACAAAATCGCTCAAGGCCGCACCAGTGTTCTTAAGGTAGGTGGCATAGGAGGTATGCGCAGCCGCGAACGCGTTACGAGCAGATACGGCGTCTTTCATGAACTGTTTGCGTTCTTTGCAGCGAGCGACAGCCTCTTCGTTCTCGATTTTCGATTGTGTGCAGCCCATCTCAAATTCTCAATACCGGAATCTCAGGTTTTGCTCACTAATCATGAAGCTTCAGATGGATTATGGAATTTTGAAGATGAAAGAGAGAGAAAGTTGCAGACTGTGGAGACACAGGCAGACAACAAAACACAGAGAGTGGCAACCTCACGGCGCCGTTTTGCTGTGTGAAAAAGACAGAGACAAATGACAACCGGGCATTTGACGAAGACAGTCTACGAAGAAAATACGTCATAAAATTAGTTTAAAATTAATACGGCATACTTCCCCCGATCCTATTACATGCTGCTAAAAACAAAATTTAATATTTAATATGATATTAATTACTTCTTCATTTAAAAATATTTTTAATCAAATATCATTTCTTAATAAAATAATTATTTATTTTTAATTAAATTTATTTTTTATATTTATTTCTATTAAATAATCCTATAATAAATATAAAGTTATTATGAATAGAGATAATTTAAAAAAAATAATTATTATATATTAAAAGATTAAAACTGTTTTATATTTTTAAATGTTTAACTCTTTAAAAAATATCTTATATTTTTAAATGGAGAAAATATATTTTTTATTACTATCTTTTGTTAAATTCATTAATAATTAAATATTTTTTGACCAAATAACAATTAAAATAATATAATATAAATTTAAAAAATTTACAAATAAGGATATACTTAAAATTAAAATTTTATTATATTTTCAAACAAAGTTAATAATTGAAACATGTCTTCTTGTTCTAGTAAGGTCATTAGATTTATGTTATAATAAGAATTTGAGGGACTATTAATTTTTTTATTACATTAATAATTATTTCATTAGAAAATGTAAAGTATGTTTTGAAAATTTAAATGTTCAAAAAATGTAAGTTATTTTTTAATATTTTAAAATATAATTGATATATTTTTTTTAAAAATACCTTTAATAAATAAATCATCTTATATTTAATTAATTTAAAATAAAATATCATATTAAATAAGGATAAATAAAAAATAATATTAATTTAAAAATAATTAAATATTTTATTAAAAATAAATTTTAATTAAAAATATTTTATTTTTTTAACAGAGAAATGTTAAGTAATAATTTTGACAAAAAAAAAATAAATAATACTCCTTTCGTTTAAAATTATAAAATATTTTTAAGAGTTTATATGTTTAAAAATAAAATATATTTTTAATCTTTTAAAATGTAATTATTATTATTTTAATATTTTTATTAAATAAATTATGTATATTTATTTTAAAATAAAATATTTTATTAAATAAAAATAAATATAAAAAATTAATTTAAAATTAAATAATTATTTTATTGAGGTGAGATTTAATTAAAAAAATATCAATATAAATTGTAAAAGTAACGTTATTAAGACACAATGTAAACTATAAAGCTGTTAGGTGACTGACCGAAGAAGTAAATGAGGTTGTAGGTGCACTTTTGCAGTCTTTGGTTGAGCCTCTTTGGACCGACCAGTCCCAATTTAGAATATATCAATCTATCATTACATGAATGGGCAATGGAAAAATAAAAAAAGAATGGCAACGAAATTGTTAGCCATAAAAAGAATGTCTGCCACTTCTGTCCCATTTCTCGATACTATATAATATGCGAGGAAAGTTATAACACAAATTATCAGAAAGTAACATTTCTCTGTATATATAGCTGTATATATATATATATATATATATGCTGAGTCTGACTGTCTTGGTTATGACAAAAACTACAATTTTTTAGATGGATGTCAATGTTTACGGCAGAAAATTACACAAAGACCGAAAAAAGAAAACAGAGAGAGAATGAAAAAATTCTAATATCTGTCAAGTAAGATGTGTCGTCTCTTTCATCTCCCTCTGATAGCTGCAAGACGAGCTGTTAAGTCATCATAATCTGGTAGCTTAGGATGCACATGCTTTGCTCCTTCACTTGGTATTTCTGGCTCTACAGGAGTTGAGAGTTGAGCGGGAAGAGATGTTCCTCTAGTAAGCTGCCCATCGGAATCTGATTTTATGTGCCTAATCGTTTTCTGCTTCAGCCTCTTCGATTCAGAAGTAGATTTTTTGATGCTGTAATGCATCAAAAGCCCGTCCATTATCCTATCTTCTTCATTCCTTGAATCAATATCAGAAACAGTTTTCTGATGACCAGGTAGTGTTTTGGGACCTCTAGTTCTGACTGACTGGGGTTTTGGCTTTTCTTGAACAACTGGCTCATTAACATCAGGTTTTGGCGTGAAGCAAGGAGGAGGATCAATCTTATGTTGAGATGGTTTCTTGGTATAATCTAGTTCATCCTCGGAAAAACTTTCTAATGAGCTTGAACGAGTCTTTGGACCATCCTGGGACGATATGTCTGTACTTATTTCGTCATCGCTACAGCTCTGAAACCTCAATGTGTCTTCATTACTGATTAGTAACGTGTGCCTAGGCCCCTCCTGCAACAAGCACCATTCCTTGCATTGAATCATTGTCTGAGCCATTTGATACAGTAAAACATGTGACATCTTCAACATTATCACGGTATAATTCTTCCATTTCATAGTTTTGTAACCGTATTTGAAAGCAAACAAGTCAACGTAAAGTAAGATTTACTTGAAGTGATGAGAAGGACATGTTGAATTTCTCCTCCATAGCCTTGCTATTCCACTTTATAGAGAATTCTTGGGCTATATCATTTAATATCTGAATCTTCATTTCTTCGGTAGGTTGTGGCCTCAACTTCTCCACAAACTAAGAAAGAACAATTATTCAGTTAGTTAAGTGGTAAAACTAAGATATTCCTCGATAAAACTTATATGAAGGTGGTGGAGTCATTGTTTGACCTCTTTACTTATGAAAGGTTCAAGAGAATCCCCAAATTTCTCCTTAAACAGAGTTCTGAGGTCACGCAATTCTGGCAGATCAGCAAATCTTGCTGCAGCATGCATCAACGACGGTATAGCTTCCTTACATTCCTCAGGGCAATTTCTGTTTCAGAAAATTATAAGAAGAAAATGTCACGGTTAACTTCTGGGAACACCTTATAGGATTAATAAAAAGAAGAAAGAAAAAAAAAAACTTCTCGTTATAAATCTAGTTTCACTCACACACTACATCTTTAACGGGGTTAATATTCATTCTCTTGACCAATCAAATTTGGCAAGATTTGAAGCTTTTGCATACTGACAGATTCGTTTGGCGAACTGAAACAGATTAAATGTGTATAAATGCAAAATATTTCATGCCTAAAAGAGGCATGCTTATTAACTGTTTAGCGATGCTAAGGTGGTGCTTCAATTTGTTAAGCCCAATTTTCATGATCCGGCTTAAGGGGAAACGGAAGAACATGCTATTATATGGAACAACATACCTCTCCTTAGAAAGGACTTGAAGATGATCTGATATGCATTCGACAAACTTTACAAGAAGTTCGTAGCAGGCTGACATGTTTTCCTCGATCATGAACCCTTCAGCCTGCATCATGCACAAAAGGTTAATAATGTGCATATGCATACATGATTGTGAATCAACGCAAGATTATTATAATCAATCTCTTGAACCCCATTTCACATGCAAATTAACGGTGAAATGCCAATTACTCAAATGATCCTCAAGGACGAACAAATTGGGAAGTTCAGAAGTTTCAACTAAACCCCCAACCCGTTCTTACTTTGGACGGGAAAAAAAAATTATGGACGAGAGATAAATGGAGAATTGCAATTCTGGAACGTGAAAATTACGTAATGATTTTGAGAATGATAAAGGAGAGCGTGATCAACGTAATTACATTACTCCTAACTACTTCTTCCCCTTCCAGGTGAACTCATCATCGTCTATGGTTTAGAGGGCCACATGTGGTCCCACAGGTAAGTCAATTAGATTGGATATCAAAGAGATGGATAATCTTAATGAAGCAGATTTGAAGCTGAGAATGACATGGTCGCCCAACAGGATATCTGCATAATCAGAAAATCCAATTTTGTACAGTATGGCCTGGAAAAGGAATTGTTTATCAAGAAATTTATACTTCAAAAGGAAAGATTCTATCTTGCTAAGACTAGGAGTTCAATGTTCGCATAAGATGCCACCCTACAAATTGTGAAAAATGCAAGAAACGAGTTCTATCTATCGCATATCTGTATAAATATCCATGTGAGTTCAGACAAGAAGATGAAACAATTAAAGCAAGAGTCTCAAATAATTAACCATCCAATGGAGCATTGTTAGGAAAATTACTCTTCCATATGCACTGTCGTCAAGGCCACTCTTGAGAAGATCAGCGATGTCATTCTTCAGAAACTTCAACACTACTTTCCTCTTCTTCCGTATCGCCTCTAGCCTCGATTTTGTGCAATCCAGGTACGTTTTGCTGTTTCCAAAGGGAAATCGAAAACAAAAAATGGGTTTAAGGAAAGGAAAACAGAAAATCATCATCTTTCAAATGGAAGAAAATTGACATTATCCCAAGGTTAAGTGCTATACCATTTTCTATAGAATTTCGGCTTCAAAAATTTGTCAAGCATGTTCGTATCTAAGAATCTAAAAGACACCCAAATAGGCGGATAAGCGAAGGCACAAAAAATGAGACACTAGTATGGCCGTTTGATTGTAATCGTGATTGGAAACAAAGCATGAACATCAAATCACGCCAAGACAAACAGAAAAAAAACCAAGAAAACCAGAAGAAACAGAGAGGTTGGGTACTATTCAAAGAATGGGTAAAGAAGAAACTAATCTTAAGATAGAGACAAGGAAAACCAGACAACAAAATAATAAAGATGGAAAGGAGATGAAGAGAATGTAGAGTGGCAGGAAAATCGAGATACAGTAGAGAGAGAAGATTAAGAAGAAGCTTGAGAGAGGGAGAAATGGCACGCAAGAGACCCTGCAAGGTCTCTTCCGCACCGCAATGAACCTCAGATTTGCGCGCGTACATGACCTGTTTCTTAACAGAGGAAGGTGTTAAATTGCCGAAATGCCCTTACCGTTACACGCAAGAAACGAAAGGATTAGGCAAAGAACATAGTGGCGGATCCGACAGCTTGCATGCCTGACGGTTGGAAGTTGAAAAATAAGAAAGAAAAATAGAAATAAACAGCCAATAAAGATTTAATTTAATAATTAGGTTTGCTAGATTTAATATTTAATAGTAATCTTAATGGAGATCATTATTGATAAGATAGAAAAGTGCAATTTCACCGATAAAAATTGATTCAGTTAATAAATATTTGTATCATAACTCACAAGATGATGGAATTACTTGTTATTGTCAATGTAAAAGTCTATTAGTGAACAATTTATAAGTATATTTATATATGCTTTTAGAATTTGAAGGTATATTCTAACCTTATTGAACTCCTATAATATAATTCACTTAAATTTTTTTATTATAAAAAAAAGTGAAATTTTACTCATAAATTTTCCTCTTAAATCATGCTATTTATTAATTTCTTAAACACACACACACACACACATATATATATATATATATATAATTATTTGATATTTAGTGCTCAATTTACTAAATCTAATTTAAATATTATTGCATATATTGATATCACTTGACACGATATCTATTGATATTTTCCCTGTTCTCTTTATTTTTCTTATAACAATATCATTGCATTCTATGTGATTTTAGTTCTCTTGGAAAAATAGTAAATTTAATGTTTTGTTTGAATTAATAAAAAAAATTATTTGAATTTGAGAAGATCCTCCATTTAGCTGCATAAAAAATCTACAGTTTTTAATTTGATCAAAATACAAGTGCATGCTTTATTATAACTTCTTTAATTTGTAATTCAAAATTTTTCATACATATTAGTTATTTAAAATTTCAGTCATTTTAATCTTTTCATTCTTCTCATTTTTTCATTGTGCCTTTAGCCACTCTTTCAATGATTGAAAAATAAAAATGAATTTGTCATTGTCAATATTCTATTTTTGCTTTAAATATAAGTTCATCTCTCTTCTTTCTTTAAATTTTTTTTATGTTATTCAAATAAAAAATTTAAATACATGAATTTTAAACATAAAATTCTAAATGTAAGATTTTGAATCTAAAATATCAATCTAAATCTAAATTTATCAATGTGAATGCTACTTTAGCATATTTTATTTTTCAAAGAAATTGTGGGCAATAATAACAATAAATAGAAAACAATAAAAAATCCAGTTAGCCAATAATAACAAACTTCGTATATATTAGAATTACTTTTGTTATTATACTTTTCATTTACAAATATATATATATATATATATATATAAAATCATTTTTTCTATAACAATCTCTTTGAAATGGACAAGTGAAAATTTACAATATTTAAGATTGTGTCAATGAAAATAATTATAAGAAGACATGATTGAAGCTGGCCGAAAAGGCATGCATGCATGGGGCCGCCAACTATTTGATATTAACACTTTGATCATATCCTTGAGAAAAAAAAAAAAGGTCAACAATATTCAATTAATTATTATCAACTGAAAAAAGAAAGGTAACAAACTACTTGATTTGTATTTGAAGTTCAACATATTTCGCATATCTCGTAATAATAAATGGAACAAAAAAGCTTACCTTAGTCAAAAGATATAATTTTTATTATCATTAACATCAATAAAATTTTACCCTCCTAATTATAGAGTAAAGTTTTATAAGAAAAAAATATATTAATATTTTTATATATTCCTTATTCATCCTCATAAAATCAAGTTCAGATTTTAGAATTAATGTAATATTTAATTTTTTTAATATTAAAATTTAAAAAAATTATAAAAGAATTTAAAAAAGTCGGCCTTTTATATTAAGCTCTTTCAAATTTAAATTTTCATTTTACATTTTAAAATAGTTACTGGATCCTAACTTTTTTAGGATTTAAAAGGGCAGCCGAATTTTAATGGACAACTCTAGATACACTTGGCTGACGTTTGTGATTGTATCTTGATGTCTCTTTATGGGAGGAACGAAAGAGACTCTTATTAATAATAATAATATTTGTGTTGAGGTTAGGGGCTTAGCGTTTGGGTGCGTGTATCAAACATCAACACGGACGGAGACAGCTGCGATTTGACCCTGATATGGAGGGACGAGGATGAAATAAAGAATTGGAAAATAAGAAAGTCATGGGGAACAAAAAAATTTTACATATTTTCTTACGAGAAAAAAGGAGCATGTAAAATACAAAAATTATGAGAGTTTGGGGGGATCCCCCATTCGTCAATCATGCTATTGAAATCCACATTAACCTACTCAGTTAAATTAATAAATTATTAAATTAATATATTAATCAGTTTAATAAAATATTTTATTTATAATTAATTTAATTATATTTTAACTACAATTTTAATCATTAATTTTTGAAATCAGTACTTAGTTCACTTTTTAACTACCTTACTTCAATCCTCCCTGTTTGGCGTTAGTGGGACCGATCACATTCTATCTCATGAAGATTTTGATTTTTTGAAAAGAAAATCGCCATAAGGATTAAGGACAGGCTCTCTCCCGCGTTTTGTGCAACTTCATTTCACATAGGCACGTCAACCAGGTCCCTTCGATTTCGTCCCACACAGCCCTCTCATTCTTGCTACTGCACTAATTTTTTTACTCAATTTTTTGCCAATATTTTTACTCATTTGCTACCGGGAAAATGAAAAATGTGGATGCATTTATATATTTTGATTTATGATTTGTCTATATGCTATATCTGATGATTTGGCTATGATACTACAAATTATGAATAGGAAGCGAACACCCAAAAATGAAAAAATAAATAAAACAAATGGGTAAGAATAGCAAAAAAATAACATCACTTCTAAAGTAAAAAATTCAAGACTTAAGTTTATGAATTCTTTTCATTTTGCATGTATTAATTATTACATTCAACTTTATGTGATATGAAACTTTTTACGTTAACTCAAGTCTACTTATGCTTAGACATTCTAGTGATCATTCTCATTTTTTCAAAAGCATATAAACCAGTCCTATTTCAGTGATGGACCCAGAAAATTAGTTAGTAGAGGCAAAATTTATACATAAGATAAATATTAATGTTTTTAATAAATTAATTTTAATTTTTTATTTAATTTCCTTAAATGTTAAATTATTAAAATTAAATACTACTAAAAAATATGCATAAAATATAAAATTATAACAACAAAGAAATTATATCTATTAGAATTTTGCTTTTATTTTAATTAATAAAACTTAACTCTTTTGACCAACAAAAGTGGGTTTAATTGATAAAAATTTGGCCTATAATCAAATTTTTTAGTGCCAAAAAACCTTAACTTTGTAGTGTAGAATAATTTTTTTGATAAAATTTTTAATTTAAACAATCAAATAAAATTAATTTCTAAATTGTTGCACCCTTCTCTCTAAAACTCTTGTTATTTAAGGTTAAAACACATAAATAAAATTTTGGTTAAACAAACTTTTAGGAAACGAGTGAAATTTTTTATGGAGCACATGAATTTTCTTATCTTTTTTTAAGGGTAGGGGCAACTAAAATGTTTAATGAGGGGCAAATGAAATATTTAGGATCACTGCTCGTAATTCTTCCTAGCCTTGTGGGGTAATTGAACCCACTACCTTACACATAGGTTCGTCCTTGCTTATTATTATATATATAGTGAATAATATATCTCATATTTAGATGCACAATGTGTATTTATTTAGGTAATTGGGTGATAACGAAGGAGTCCGAACAATTTGTACTTTTTTCATGGTGAATTTTTTTGTATTTATTTTTGTATATAAAGTGCATATATTGGCTTATAAGTTGGCGACAAGTGGACAAGGGGTGCGTGGCTGCAATCACCGACAAGGTTGAATTTTGTGAGCTTTGACTTAAAAAGTACGTGGGGCCTGCTGGGTGACAACTAAATTCAAAAAGTATCCCCAACTTTGATCATTTACTTAATTTTTAGGTTCAATTATGACACGTCACGTTCATGCACATTGCCATACATTGATTCAAATTTCAAATTCAATCACCTTAAATTACGCCCACTTTTCCCCTCACTGCAACAAAGATCGCCTTTTTTTTTTTTTTACCTGACAACAAAGAACACTATGTAAAGCGTTTTTTTATGCTTTTCAGAGTGTTTTTTTTTTTTTGAACATTCCAAAAGTAGGTGCTCTCCTGTCATAAGTCTTCCCTGCGAGAGCATTTTCCAGTATCCAATGAGAGTTTTTTAAAATTTATAAAGGCTCTCGTGGGCTTATCAATAAGAGAGCTTTCATGCTCATGAACACTCTCATAGGGATGTTTACGGGAGCTTTTCTTTCAAGGAATGTTCCCATATAGGACCCTATTGGAGCTTTTTGAGAAGATGTTGGAGGTAATTTCAACGGACAAGATGTGATGATGAAGGCAAGCTTAAATGGATTGAAACTCGAGTCACCGTTGAGTTGGAACGGATCTAAAGGCTGCGAGGACGATGACAACTTTGAATGTGAGAAACCACACTTCAGATATAGTATGCGACGGTAACGATCTCGATCAACAAGGAGCTAACTACGGCGACCTTAGACAAACTTTCGACAACAACGGGGTTGGGAGCTTGATCAATTTGATGAACAGCATAATAGGAAAACAAATGACTTAATGCAAAACTTTTAAATGGCCAAAAAATTAATAAAATAATACTATAGCCCTGCAGGAGCTTTTTGGCCTAAAAAAGTTCCCGTTAAGTCTTCACCTTATGAGAGCATTTTTTAGGCTCAAAAACTCCCGTAGTTCAGTTTATTTAAAAAAAAAAAAATTGCAGCACCTACAGGAAAGTTTATGAGACTTAATGCTCCCGTATGACGCATCATATCAGAGCGTTTTCCATAAAAAAACGTTTCGGTATGTTTCATATCATATTTTAAGAACGTTTTTAAGCAAGAACGCTTCTATATGAACATTCCCGCAGCCATTTTCTGTAGTGGTGCCTATTTCACTTGTGCCTCTCTAGTCTAATCACCTATTCAAATTAGCATCATTTATCATTGAGGAATATACATTCATATACTTTGTGGAATGTTTACATAAATTCTAGGTAAGTCCCCTATTGCTTCAATTTAATTTAATTAGAGAATATATATATATATATATATATAGGTGAAAACATAGTGCATGCGAGGCATGAGAGAGGATCTTGAATTTTCGGGCTAACTTCTAATCAAACAAAATGAGTTCCGAAGGTCGACTCTTATTACAGTTTTCTCATATGCTAGTTTAAGATGCGGATTAAAACAAATAAAATCATTAACTTGTATACTAAATGAAAATAGTAGCAGACTGAAGCCAACTTCTGGCCGAAAAAAAAGACTGAAGCCAACTTATAAAAGCAATGCAGTAGAGGGAATGTAAAGTGTAAACGAGTCAATGTCAAACAGTAAAATATATGTGCCTAGGGAATGAAAAAGCAACAGAAAAAAAAAAAAAGAGAGAAAGTATATACCCATTTGTCTCTATATGTAACGTACTTTTAATTAAATCACATAAATTAATAAAATTTATTCATCTAATTAAAAACATAATAATATTTTAATTTTATTTTTAATTATTATAAATAAATAATAAATATTTTTTTAAAATAAACTAATAAGAGTATTTTTTTAATTTAATAAAAGTATAATGATTCATTCATTAAAAAATATTAATAATTTTTTATATTTAAGAATAAAAAAATTTTAAAAGACTTCTTATATATAGAGATGGAGTATGTATTTTGCTTCAAAGGTGTACTTCCTCCATTCCTATATATAAAGTGTTTTTTTATAAACTTATTTTGTTTCTGCATGTAAGGGGTGGCAATAATTTTCAAGTGATTAGGTAATGTCTTGAAAAATAAAATAAATCATTAAATGCATATTTTTCTTACAACTATTATGATATTAATTATGATATTATTAAGAATAAAATTATAAAATTATTATATTTTTATGTGAGTTTAACTAAATAATAAACTTTTATTGATATGTAAAATTTAATTAATAATATTTTATATATAAGGACTGACTGAGGGAGCAAAGGGGAATGATCAAAGTTAACTGCTCCCAAGCAGACCCTGATTGCAAGAGCACTAATGCTCAGCATCTCCCAGCGAACCAAAATATGAATATATATATATATATATATATATATATATATATTCTTTATATTAAAAAATATAAAATATTTTTAATTCAATCTCATCTTTCAATAAAAATAATTATTTATTTTTAAATTAATATAATTTTTTTATATTTATCCTTATTTAATAGAATCTTTTATTTTAAAATAAATATATAGTGATGGACACTTTTCAAAAAAGCACATAAATGACACCTTTTTTGTTTGCCAAAACATTAATTATGAAATACTACAAAATGTCATATTTAGCATTTAATTTTTAAAAATATATCGTATATTTTTTTAATAAAAAGAGTAGATAGAGAATATTTTTTATTTTATTTATAAGAATAAGCCACATGAGTAAATTTTTATTATAACTTTTGTCATTTACCTTCTATTAAGTATCAATAAAAAAAACTATATTATTAAAGTATATATATTAAATAAAAATAAAATTAAAAATTTATTAAAATTTTAAATAAAATTAATGAATTTTAAAGTTTCATATACTTTATTGATTTGATATGCTCCTCTTCTAATTTTAGAAATGCGCTCCTATAATTTCATAGCAGTGTGACCCTTATTCTAAGAAAATGACAGATTCATGACCGAAAAAATGTTAAACATACAATTGAACTTGCGCAGGCACAATGCAGCTAAGCTCCAACAACTACGAGGATTGTGTGTATATGTGTCTTTTATAACATCTTCCCATAACAATTCGTCAATAGTATGATTTAATTTATGTTTTAGACTATATTATGCAATATTGAACCATTTAAAATGATAATACATGTTAGTCTAGATTATCTTATTAGATTTAACTAGAGAACTTAAAGGGACTGGATTAATTAGAAAGAATATTTATTAAAAAATGAGGAGATAGATCTGGTAATACATATTTAACACGAATGAGTGCCTAGATCTGACACAAATGGCCAAGGGTCGTATTAAAAATAAAAAAATTGGCCAAGGGTGAAGCATGGGGAAAAAACTCAATTCTGCAAGCAGACTCTTCACAAATTTAAGAAAAATAATCGCACGTGGCCATAATAATATAAAAGAGGCTTTTGTAAAAATAATTCATATTACAGGATCAAACTAAACAAATAATCCAACATTTATTATATTTTATATTATGATTAGTTTGTTATATTTATTAATGATATATCATTGTATATAAACAATAAATCTGTTGTAAATTTTAAAATTTTTAATAATAAATTTTTTATATATTAATAATAAATTTTTTATATGTCAATATAAATTGATCATGTTCTTAAATTTTTAAAAATTTAGTTTATATTTTTTAAGTATAAAATATAAGCACGTGGCATTGAATCATAGAGACCTTTGACCTACGGTTACTGAACTCGTCTCCCCAACTAATTTTACGCCCACGACCCACCAACGTCTTGTTGATTCAATATTCTTTACCTACACACCTGCAGTTGCTCGGGAGCACGTCCCGTTGTCTTCAGATCACCCCTAAAGTAATTTGAATAAATTTGAATGATTTCTATTTAACTACTTTTTTATTTTTAAAAAATAAAAAATTATAAAATTTAATAAATTTATTAATTATGTCAGTCTAAGTTAAATAGTATTTTTTTTATAATTCTTATAAATTAACCATATAGATTTATTTTGAACTGTTTTAAATCTGAAAATATGACAAGTTAAAAATTTTGATCTGAATAGTATAAAATAAATTTGTATGGTCAATTTATAAAAATTATAAAAAAATTAATATTAAATTTTGACATATTTAATTAAATATAAATGATTGAAAATAAATATACTTATTTAAAATTTGATAAATTTTTATTTTTAAAAAAATATAGTTTAATCTCAACTGTCCTGATTAATTCTGGGACGATGAGCACTTGATGAGGGCGAAACGTGCCCTGGTATTTACTCTGATCATACTCTTCAGTGACGTCAGCATTATTGTCGTTACCGCTGATTTTTTATTATTTTTCTGAATCCATGCTTGATGTGAAATGTAATTCTTAAAAAATTGCGTTGAGACACTCCCTCCAGTCGTCCTTAATATAAAAGGATGTTTGGAAACTTTTTATGGTGATTATTGGTTAACAATAATTTATTATGATTATAAATTTAAAAGAATGATAAAATTGGAAAGTTATCTATTAAAGATTAAAGTAGTACTTCAAAGCATAATAATGGAAAAAAAGAAAGTAGTATCTTGGAATTTAAGTCATGTTCAAATTACACTTGTGCATACATAAATTACGTGATAAATCCTCAAATAATTTTGGCTCTCAATCTAGCTCAATGCATAATATTGATGATATGATAATTCCCTGAAATTTGATCGGACCTTCTCTTCAATTAACAACCATCCAGCTAGCTAGATTCAGTTCCTACACTGACAAATTTACAACTTCAATATCCTATCTTCCACACATGCGCTGCATATATAATAAGAACGAATAATAATGAATATATATAATGAAGGAGGAGGAAGCTTTCAGCTTGCTTATTATAATCAGTGAAGCTCCCATTATTCTTGTGATACAAGTAACGTACGATAAACATGTGTGAGGCTCAACGCTGAGTTTCATGAGTTCATGAACTGATCTCATTCGTAGCTCTGATCTGAAGAAAACAAAAGAGAAAGTCATCAGTGAAAAACATCAAATAGATTGTCAAAGTAAATAGAGACTCATAGGGATGAAGAGGGATATGTAGAGATGGAGTAGGTACCAGAGACAGGTGAGGAAGTTGATAAGAAGATGGAAGAAATAGTTGTGAGGGTGAAGAAGGTCTGGGCGGAGAGATCGCTCTAAGTAAAGATGGCGAGGAAGGAGATTGGTGTAGAAGAGGATGGTGGTCACTGTGGCGGCGGGTTCACGCACAAGTGCTCTCAGCATAGTCAACATGGACCTCAGCATCAGAACTGGCATCGATATCTGCTGTCACACACAACCACACACAGAAAGAGACATCAATATCAGAGACAGGCACCAGAGAATAGAACGTGTCTCAATCTGAGAGAGGGAGGGAGGGCAAACCATGGTTATGGCGGTGGCGAAGGCAAAGTGGAGGAAAATATGGAAGCGAGGAGATCAAGGAAGCAAGGAAGGAAGTGAAAGAAGTAAAGAGAAAAAGAGGGGTGGTGGCAGGGAGAGGTAAAGCTAACTACCCTTCAAATGGTGACAAATTTTTTACTAAAAACATACCCACCCAACTATTGGGCCTTGTTGTAACTTACAACATCGGCCTCATCCACGCTTCCACTTTGCCTTATGCCTCCCCACGAAATAATGATTCATTTAATAAAAGCTAGGTTTTAAAATTGCTAAAACATACCTCCTCTCATCTTATTCATAAGATATTTTATAGAAGTAATATTTAATTTAAAATATAAGACAACTTGTAGTGATTAAATTATTTTTTTTAAATTCATCCCTTCTTGATTAGCGTAAATGTATTTAATATAATTGTATTATTATTTAAAGTCAACGATAAAAATAAAGGCATGTATCACTATTTTATAATACCAATTTTTTTTAAATATACGTGGACTGATTAAACATGTCTTATAATAAGTAGGGGTGTTCATCTTGTACTCATTTCGATTAGCTTGGTATCGTCCCTATCATATCGGGGCAAGTCTTGTCCTGACCCAAAAATAATCAGGATAGGACTTTGTGTGACAAGACAGGAAAGGGGTCCAGAACAAGACGAGACGCTGAATTACCATCGGGATGTCCCATCCCATCTCAAATATTATACGTATTATTTTTTATTTTAAAAATATACATTAAATATATTAATATAATTTATACTTATATTGATTATATCAATTTATAATTTCAATATTTGCAATTCTTATATAAAGCTAAAATTTTTTAGATTGATAATTTTAATAATATAGAGTAAACATGACAATATCTTTCTTTATAGTATATTAATTATATTAATATAATTTATTTTTATATCTATCTATTTAATAAATTTTATTTATATTATATTTCTTATTTTATTTTTGAAAGAGTAATTAATTTAGCATATCTCAACTAAAGTAGAAGAATAATGATTCGATGTTGTACTTGACTTGTCTATTGTTGTTGTTCTTATAGCCTTAAGATCACTTGTAATTGCTATCATAATGTGTAGTTGTAATTAATATAATTCAATAATTGACTTTAAATTATTGTGATTTATATACTTGTGTTGTATTAATTTTAAACTTAATAAATTATATAATTTAAAATTTTAATAAATATTATTATCCAGATATTTCTATGACACTGTCCGATTTATTGGGACGGCGGGACATCTCAGTCCCATCCCGATCTCATCTCGATTCTTAATGAAATGGAATGACTTTCAGGACAAGACAGGACGCGAAACTAAAATTTAATTTCGATCTTTTTTTTTTGGATGGAACACGGGATAGGGGTGTTCTGGTCTCGTTTCGTCCCGTGAACACCCCTAATAATAAGGACTAAAGGAGTACTTTTTTTTGTCTTTATAATAAAGTATTTTTAATTACTTCACTTGAATTAATAAGAGTTAGTTAAATCATTAACTTTGTGTGAAGATATACTAAATTTTTAATTTTACCCCTACCTAATTAATTTGAAATCTCTTCAATTTTATATTATATTCTCATTCATAGTTAATGAGTTTAAATAAAAATAATATTAAAAAATATAATTAATATTATATTAAATGTATTATATAAAAGACTGAATAATCCTTCTAGAAAGCACCCTATAATAAGAGGAGGGAATAAGATGTAAATATTTTTCAGACAATTGCAAATACTGCAAATTACACATTTAAGTTTTCTAGATCATTCTTATAAATTTGAGACTAAGACTCATATTTTTAAAGTGTTTGGATATACTTTTATAGAATCATAATTTTAACCACTAAAATTGATTACCAATGTTATTAAACCGACCAAATCTTGTAAAATTAATATTTTATCCATTTAATATTATAAGACATTTTAAAAAAATTATATAAAAAAATATAAAGCATTTTTAATTTTTTAAGATGTTTTAATAAAGTTTCTCAAAAATATTAGGGAAAATGACAACAAATTACCTTCAAAATATGCAAATAAAAAATTTGTACCCCAAAATTTGATAATTATTATGTAATTCTTTGGGACTTGTTTGGCATTTTAGTTTTTGTAAAATGGCATATTTATCCCCATTTCACCTCTTTCTTTCACCGTGGCTTCTCTCTCATGTCCTCTTCCTCTGTGCAAACCATAAGGATTATGGAGAAGTTGGTCTCTTTCTCGGCTTCACGGCATCATGTGGTCCCCTTGAACACGACGAAAACCACCTATTGCAAGGCCAAGCGCTCCGCTGAGCAGTTTCAACTTCTTTAGTTTGATGTTTGTGTACATTTTCAATTGCCGACTGTAATAATTTAATCGCTAACCCGTGGCTACCTTGTAGCCCCTTCTCCTTCAACAAATGAGAGATTACAAAATTATTGAAAGAAATTATTTACGATGGAAAAAAAATTCAAAATGCAGTTCTTATCTATCATTGGTGACAATAGAGTTTTGTTTTTGATTAACACTTGTAAAATGAGGGGCCATATGAAAAACGCGATGTAAGAAGATTTATTACGAAGAGGACAACCATGATAAAAGCATTGCTTTTTTTGCACCTAACAAGTAATTAATGATATGAAGATTCAATCAAGAGAAAATATTTTGAATAAGAGCAGGGCTAAATTTGAAGTTAACTGAAGCCTTCTAGAAATAAGATAGATCAGATTTGATATCAACAATTCAATAAGCTCTTGTGGCAGCGTCATATGTGATGAGAAAGGAAATTGGATGATGGGATTCTTAAAATATTTCGACTATCACCTTAGTATTGTGACTAAACTATTGAGTATCTTAGAAAGTCTTCATCAATGTTAGAATGCAAAATTTATAAGAATTAATATTCACATTGATCCTATGGAAGCCTTTTCACTCATCTAGCATAATTTTTTTTTTTAAATTCATCCTCTACCAAAAAATATTAAGAAAATTAAGGAGTTTGTAATGAAAAATTGAATGGTTACTTTTGATCATATCTTTATATCAAAAAGCTAACAAATGCAGTTGATATGCTCATATGCCAAGCAACTCAGGACAATTTAAACCTTGTTATTTTTAATCAACTGTCTACAAAATACAAAATACAAAATCTTCTTGAAATTTGATATGATAAGATTTCTGTAACTTTTGCATGGCTCTTTTTTCACGGCCTTATATTAAAAAAATGATAAGGGGCAAAAGAGTGACCTAATGGATATGGTGCTACTGGTACAATTTTCTTTTGTTCCTTAGAGATGAATTGAAATGATAGGTGTAGTCTAAATCAGTCTTGAGGAGGAGGGGTCTTTGAAGAAGGTGTTTGGGATGAGATTATGGATGGAGATCAAACAATTGGTGGAATTGACGGAACAAGAAAAGTTTAGAAAGATCTTATTTTTCCTCCAGTTGTTGGCTAGACAATTTAGAGCGGTGAGAGAGAGAGGGGGGGATGGGGCAAATGTATCATTTCACAAAAAATCAAAATGCCGATCTAGTCCTAAGAGACTATAAAATAATTGTCACATTTTGAAGTACTTATTTATTATTTACATATTTTAAAAGCATTTTATTTTCATTTTTAAAATATTTTTAATTAAAAAAATTACGTAATTGAGACATTTTATTAAATAAAGATAAATAGGTGTATAATTTTAAAAACTATATAACACCTTCCCTACAAGGATTGTGTGTGTGTGTGTTTATTTATGACATCTTCCCATAACAATTTGTTAATAGTGTGATTTAATTTATGTTTTAGAGTTTAGACTAGATTGTGCAATATTGACCCATTTAAAATAATAATGCATGCTAGTCTGAATTATCTTATTAGATTTAACTAAATAACTTCAAGGGACCGGATTAATTAAAAAGAATATTTATTAAAAAAATGAGGAGATAGATATGGTAATACATATTTAACATGAATGAATGCCTGGATTTGACATAAATGGCCAGGGGTGAAGTGTCCCGGCCATGAAACAGTTAAGTGCAAAAAAAAAAAAAACTCAATACGGCTAGCAGCCTCTTCACAAATTTAAGAAAAAATAATCTCATTTGGCCAAAAAGTCATAGTATCAAATTAATTAAATATTTTAAATTAAAAATGATTCAAACACAAATAGATGCAACTCCAGTACGGGGCCTGGGCTTGAAGAGTGGCCCAATTCGGTGTAACTAAAAAAAGACCAAGCCCAAGCTCACTAATATTAGTTGAAAGATTTGGTAGCCGTGGATTATATAAGCACGTGGTGTTGAATCCTAGAGACCTTTTGAGTTTTGTTTGACCTACGGTTATCAAACTCGTCTCCCCAACTAATTGTACACCCACCGACGTCTTGTTGACTCGAAAATCTTTACCTGCACATCTGTATTTACTTTGCCCATACTCTACAGCCACGTCAGCATTATTGTCAATTACCTCTGATTTTTTATTATTTTTCTGAATACTCTATGTTTGATATGATGCAATTCTTAAAAATACGCAGAGGTGATCATCCACCACCTTAATCTGCTAAAAGGGGGTGTCTGATGATTGAGTTTGACTCTCTTGTAGTCTATTACAAGCTTCTAGTTTTGCTCTGATTATAAATGATATTCAGTTTTATTCAATAAACCAAAAACAAAAAACGCAGAGGAGAAAGCATAATGAAATATATTGGAAGTCATGCGTTCCAGTTATACTCCACTTCATTCCACAACTAGTGAAAAACCATACAATAATTTTTATGGCTCTCAATCTCAATGAGTATATAGTATTGATAATGTGATGAATTAAAGGTTATTTTTATTCAAAAAATCACTCCACACTTTAAACTTAATTATAGATGAATTGTATCTTCTCAACGTTAAACATTCTCTTCTTCTCTGTTGTTAACTAAAGCTATCAATTAGTGTCGGCCCTGAAAGGATTAAAACCAAGATGGACTGGTCTTGTTAAACCTTATTTCATTTTGGGATTTCCTTTTGGCCAGCCTGGATCAGCACCCTACAAATATATATATATATATATATATATTTAATTTAAAAATATAAAAAACATATTTAAAATCTTAAAAAAGTTATTACA